TGTGTTCAAAATGTAAGAAGTAGAAAGTACAGGTATTTGTGTTCAACATGTAAGAAGTAGAAAGTACAGGTATTTGTGTTCAACATGTAAGAAGTAGAAAGTACAGGTATTTGAGTTCAACATGTAAGAAGTAGAAAGTACAGGTATTTGTGTTCAACATGTAAGAAGTAGAAAGTACAGGTATTTGAGTTCAACATGTAAGAAGTAGAAAGTACAGGTATTTGAGTTCAACATGTAAGAAGTAGAAAGTACAGGTATTTGTGTTCAACATGTAAGAAGTAGAAAGTACAGGTATTTGTGTTCAACATGTAAGAAGTAGAAAGTACAGGTATTTGAGTTCAACATGTAAGAAGTAGAGGTATTACAAGAGCTTCTTTAAAAAGGGAAATCACTCACAACAGGAAACACTTAAAGATACAAACAGGTGATAACACTTACTCCAGTTTTGTGCACAACGTCTTTGTAGATGGTGACGAGTCGATCGATCGCTCCCTCTCTGAGACACACAAACATCTCCGGTTAAAATGACAGACGAGTCTTTAAGTGTAACATTTAAATTAGGATATTTAGCTAAAAACCAAATGAGGACTGCGGGATTTGGAAAAAGTGCTAATTGACATCATTTTGAGTGATATTGCAATTAAGATATGATTCACAAAAATGCAGGAATGTTAGTTTTTTTTATCATAAGTCTCCTTTTAGATGACAACAGTATTACAATGATCATGGTGGGATTATTTTAAGAGGATCTGGAGCAAACAAATTCATATTTTCAGTGTCGGAACAACTCTGAAAAACCAAAACGGTAATTTTTTTACATTTATTGTGCCTTTAACAACTATTGAGCTGACTGCTATTTTGGATAATGGCCCTGGAGCAAATCTGATCTCTAACGGCCCGTCCACAGACAGGCATGAAAAAAATCTTGAAAAATCTTGAAGCTGGGCGTGTCTGCAGCTTGGCGATTTTTTCGGAGCAACGCGACCAACAACCAATCACATGAATGTCCCGCCCCGACATACAAAGCAATAGCAATGTTAAAACGAAGTAAACTGGATATAAACTCTCCAAACAGGCGAAAACCTACCAGTTTCACCCACTGTCTCTGCCACCTCCCTCCATGCCTGGTTCCTCCGGTTTGTATCCCGGTAAATAGTTCTGGTCGTAAAGAACCGGGTGATTTGGTACCGTAATTTCTCGTTTGGATTATGAGGAAATGAACTGCGGTCTGGCTCTCCTAGCTTGCACGCTTGCACGCTGGCGGGATTTGCATAAACGGGATTTGATTGGCTGATGCCAGCTTTGAAAGCATCGGGAGCATCAAAAGTTGAACATTGCTCAACTTTTGATGCTCACGATGCTTGCAAAGCCATGCTCCGCTTCCCACAATGCAGTTCGGCAAAGATTAAAAATCTTCTACGTCACCCCATTCAAGTGAACGGGCGAAGTTTTGAAATATTTTTTTCATGCCTGTGTGTGGACGGGCCATAAGGACGGCAGGCAATACGTGTACATTTAAAATTGGGATATTTAGCTCAAACCAAATGAGGACTACACGATTTGGAAAAAGTGCTAATTGACATCATTTTGAGTGATATTGCAGTTCTGATATGCTTCACAAAATTGATGGGAATGGTTGTTTTTGCATCTTAACTCCTTTTAGTTGACAATTGATCATGGTGGGATTCGTTCAAGAGGATCAGTCTCTTGAATAACATTTTTCAGAACCCTGAAGCACCCAAAACGTAATTAAAAACTGCACTGTAACATATATATTGTGCATTTAGACAAACATAGGTTTTACTGTGATTTTGGACATCGCCCTGGAGCTCACCTGATCTCTAAGGACGGCAGGTGAGGCAGGAAGTCGTTTCCCACGAAGAAGCACATGAAGACCCAGTCGTCTATGCTCCTCTCAAAGTCGAAGGGAAACGGCAGACTGGCCATCGTCAGCTCTCGAGCCAAATACTGAAAACGTGGAGGAGGGGAAGAATTAAAACAGTTATCTGTAAGGTGCTTCTCTCTGAAGACCAATGTTTGCTCTTATACCCAGTCTAGTTAAATGTACATTATTTAATATTCTGTTCTTGTACACATCATATTCTATTTACATGTATATACGCTTCTTGCAGTATATTTGGGTACAGCCCTAAAGGAAGCAATTACATTATTTATTTCCAAAAAGGAGATAGAGTCTTACCTCTCGCAGCACACAGAGTCTGATGAATATGAACTCCTGCTCAGACCCCGGCATCGAGCCGGCAAATTCATCGTGCTGAAAGAGAGGGAAACACAACGGATCAAATATCACTCGTGGAAAGATGGCAGCTTCTTAAAGGTCACCTATTATGCAACATCCACTTCCACTTCATGTCAGGATGAGTGTTCTCCTGGACTCACCTCTCCCTGCTTCTCTCGAGCCACGCCCTGGCACTCTTTGAGTTCGTGTCCGACCTGGTTGCAGAGGGCGCAGGGTCTCGGTTTGTTGGGTTTGAACTCCTCTCTGATGATGGTGAAGTTGGGCTCGTGGGTGGCCAGGCCCAGCATGATCAGATCAGCTGAACATGGGAGGGGGAGAAGGATTAATAATGAACACATATTGGCTTAGAAAGTAGTCAAAAAACAATACATCAAGGTCACTTCAGACTGGAACATGAATTACTTTTATATAATCTTATTTATTTCACATTTAGGAGTAAAGTCTTACCATCAGCTCCACAACTTGAATTGTATTTTACGGCAACAAATCTTTATCTACATTACATTTTAGACTTAATTTAAAGTCTTACCGTCAGCTCCACACAGGCAGTGGTGTGTGTTTGGGTCGTGGTTGGGTTGAGCTGCAAAACAGAATCACAAACAAGAGTCAATATAATGTGTGTCAGCTTGTATTCGTAAAGTATTTGTTTTAGTCTCAGATCAAAGTCTTAACATGTGAGAAATGTAAGAATTAATGCTCAATATTCTCGAGTGTATTTACATTTATGTTACAGGGTTTCCCACACATAGACTTTACTTGGGCGGACCGCCCAGGTATATTAACGTCCGCCAAAGTATATTTTGCCACCCATTTAGGTTTATATATTTTTGTATCGAGCACGACGGCAACGCCATGGATTAACTAGGGGACAACAATCCCTCCTTTACCTGTTCGCTCCGCTATTTTGTGAAGGGTCTGCTTCTTGCGCTCCGCAGTAACCCCGCAGCGAGGCTCGGGCGAACAATTCATGCTCCACTAGCACCCACCCCCCGTTCATGAGCGTGCTCCACTAGCACCTCCCCCTGTTCTCGACTACCACCACAAGTATATTTCAGATCTGTGGGAAAAACTGAATGTCCCAATTATAGAAATATTTAATAGCACAAATAAAATGAATTTTTGCTTCAAACACACAGTTAATATGCCGTTTTTCGATTTACTCATTTAATAACGTGTATTTGTAGTGTCATCAGAATTGCTGTGTAATTCAATATGTCATTGTAGAACAAAGACGGTGATCAGTGGATAAACAGCGGTTGTGACTGCAGAGAGCTTTGTGAAAGGCATATACCTACATCACACAGGCTGACTGTTGATAGAATCCTACACGCCTGACAAATAATCTCCCTCAGTGCTGTTTACAGAACACCTAACAAGTGTTACATTTGCACCACTAATCGGGGGAAACTGTGAAACCACGGTATTGTGTACGGTGCAGTAATCCATTATGGAATTCCTTCATTGTTATTCAGCTCCAATCTCATTACCTCTATTCAACATTTAAGTACGAAGAAAATGAAGACTGGCATTGTTGTACAATCAGAAACGTTTCAAACACAGGAGGGGGGGAGTAGTAACACTGCATGGCTTTGCATGTCTAAGCTTGCTTCTCCCATCTTACACTGGTACATATCTGATGTATGAATAATACAGGACTAAGAAACATTGTTAAGGCATTTCATATTCATAACACCAACAATGTATCTAAGCACCTTAAGATTTCCTGCATCTAAAATTACACCTTCCCAAAGGTTTTTCTCTCCACATAGACAATAATATGTGTTCACTGAATGTTTCATCATGTCTCCGTCAGAGATATTATTGAGAAATTATAGTGCAGGCAATGAGTCAGGAAGCACTATGACAGTGGCCCGAGTAGAATCCAGGGGAGATGTATTATTATGATATTTTCTTGGAGGAATCTGGAATTGAATTCTGATTCAGTGGAATATGATTTTAAGGCGAGGTTATGCTATCCCCTGATAGATGATACACAGGCAACAGTCACGCTACACAGAGCATCGCAATAGATACAGCGAGTACAGAGCTGGCCATGCACAACACCAGCGGGCTGCATAGAGATGAGCTCTGAAGGAATGGGATCACTGGGGCATAAACACAACAACAAGGATGTAATGGAGGGTTTACTACCCCAACTCTTTAATCCACTTTGTTATCTGGGAAGTAGAAGTTTCCCAACATTTTCAAAGGGATAGAAAGGTTTATAGCGTGGTGAATGTTATGAATAACAGAACCCGGCTGATATAAGGAAATGTATTACAAGTATAAAATAACACAGTTTTGACAATGTAATAAAGTTACATTTGGCTTTCCGGTTTAACACTGTACAATTCACACAAAGGAAATTAAGATGCATTTAAAAAAAAAATGTGTGTATGTAGAATCTTACTTGTGTGTAATTGAATGCATCACATTTGTAAGTGAGGGTAGTTTACTTTTAAGAGAGCTTCTTGGTCTATTATAAAAAGCACAAAAGGAAAAGGAGAGTGTGACCCAAGCAGCTATTGTAACAAAGCAGGATTGCAACATCACTGAGACCTTGAAGTTAAATAATTTCTTCAAAATAAAGGCAACAAAAACATTCCCTTAAAAAAGGATAGAGTCACACCAGAACAAAAAAACATAAAATGTGTCCTTGAATACTTTATGAAGTTTCTCTGGTGAGACTGCAGCTGTACAATCATTACAAAAAAAGTGTATTGTATCCTGGTCAATGGATTTCTAAATGGAAGAGTCTGGGTAGGTCATTTTAAGGATAAGAAATATGCCTGGTTACAGCATTGGATCCATTCTGTGTAAGTGGTTGCACCATGGGATCACATCAGTCCTCCAGGGGCAGATTCAGCTCTGATAAATGAATCCACGGGGGTTGAGATAGCACTGAAAGGCTCCTTGCATCTCTCCTCTTCATACAAACACATCTAATCTCATCTTATTTACTTCTTTATCTCTTAAAAACACAGACTACTCCATCTAAGTTCACCAAACATAATAATAATGGCATCACTGTATCAGCAGAGCTTTATGTTGCTTAGGCCCTGAGAAAAGTGGTTGATGGAGGATTTCATCAGGTTAAAAAGGGGCTATTTATGGCACACCTGAACAGTACATCATGACCAGTGATTCAGATGGTGGTGAATTAGAGGAGAGCTGCAGGTGATGAATCTGTGCTCGGTATCCTGGGAGGTCATTCACATGACATAAAGAGCGATTAGGGGCCTTGTCCCCAATCTATCAGGGGACAATCGGTGTATTTCATCATCACATCTTGCCCCTTTTTTCCGTTCTCCCTCCCCTCTGGGAAACCGCTCATCAGAAACACGGCCATTTAAGTGTGCGGCCATGGACAAGGTCACAGCCCAACTGTCTGTATATACACTTTCTGTGGGTATTTTTATCTACTCATGTATTCACCACAAAGACAAAAGGGAGACAAGGAGCTGCTCAGCCGTCTCTTGTCCCTGAGGAGTCATCAATCAGCGCTGGATGTGACCCTGGAGGACAGATGTGTTCCTGTGGAGAACGCACTCACCCTGGATGGACCAAGGCTCTGCTGCTGGGCTGTGGCAGCTGGAGGAGGCGCTGGACTCATCAGGCACACTGTAAGGCTGACAGTAGTGAGGGGACTCGGAGGAGGTTCTGACCCTTAATCTTGAATGGGTGTCATTTTATCATTTTTGTATCTGGGGCCTTTTACACTATGTCACGTGGGTCTGAAACTACTGATGCTTTAATCAAATCAAACTTCATGTATATAGCTCTTTTCATAGACAAAGCTAGCTCAAAGTGCTTCACAAAACACAATTGTAAAAAAAAAACAATACTAGCTCCCCTTTCCAGGTCATAACCAGAGGAGTAAGCAATGCAGGACTGAATAAAACCATATTATAAAACATTTAAATAAAAACAATAAAAAGGAATAAAATAAGAATATATTAAGAATGAAGTACAATTCAGCTAAAAGCCTGATTAAAAACGTTGGTCTATTATTGGGCGGCTCAAATAAGGGCGGGACTGTTTTATTTTGTGAAGGACAACCCTCCTGCATGGGTCACAATGGAATACCTGTCACTTGCTGTCCCCATAGACCTTTATATTTACTCAGCAAATAAAAGAAAGTTAATTAAACAGACAAGGAACCCCTTTCTCAAAAACACGATTGTGGTTTGGCACAGTGTTCTGAAATGCCTTGGTGAGATACAGAATCTATCCCAATTCTCACCAATTGTTGGTAATGATGGATTTCGGCCAGGCAGGGCAGATCCAGGCTTTAAAACCTGGTCTACCAAAAGTATTGCTAAAGTGTCTGATATTTATAAAGAAGCTACATTTATGTCATTTGAAGAGCTTAGAACCACATATGGAATTCCTGCAAAGCACTTTTTCAAATATCTCCAACTCCGGAGTTTTATAAGGTCCTGCCAGGGCAGCTTAGAACTTCCCCCTCTGTCCACTTTAGAAAACATAATTTTGAAACATCCTTATCCTTATTATACAATCTGTTCGCAAATGAATGTAAAGAATCATCACAATATCTTGCAGGCCTGGAAATTGGACTTAAATCAAATGATAACACAGGAGGAATGGTCAAAGGCTTGCTCCTTGGCTCAAACTCAAACAACGAACACACACTCCAAATTACTACAGTATAAATGGCTAACCAGACAGTACATTACTCCGGCTAGGTTGCACCACTTTAATCCTAATATTCCTGATACATGCTTTAAATGTAACAACGTGAAGGCCGGGGTCGCTCTTTCACTGTATGGGAGTGCCCACAAATAATCTAAGGGTGTTAGAGCTGATCAGGGTGGTTATTGGTAAAGAGGTACCTTTTGATCCTAAATTGTGTATCCTGAATATAAACCAAGGGTGGGCAAACTTTTTGGCTCGGGGGCCACTATGAGTTTTAAAATGTGTCAGACGGGCCGGGCCAGTAGCAGATCGGTGAAAAAATATTTAGCTGTCCACTCCTCATTATACACTCGGCACTCATTGTTGACTTTTCTTTTCTTTGGTCCACTCATTGTTACAGATGCAGGTTCAAAGGTGAATTAGGTTCAAAGGTGAATTATTGCGTCACCGTTTGCGTNTTTGCCTATGGCCCCCCGGTGAATGTTTGCCTGGGGCCCCCCGGTGAATTTTTGCCTATGGCCCCCGGTGAATGTTTGCCTATGGCCCTCGGTGAATGTTTGCCTATGGCCCCCGGTGAATGTTTGCCTGGGGCCCTCGGTGAATGTTTGCCTATGGCCCCCGGTGAATGTTTGCCTATGGCCCCCGGTGAATGTTTGCCTGGGGCCCCCGGTGAATGTTTGCCTATGGCCCCCGGTGAATGTTTACCTGNAGAAAACTTCAAATAACTTGCCTTGAAAAATGCCAAATATCTGAATCTTAGTTTGAGGAGAGGAGACCCTTTCTCATTTCTCTAATTCCCCTCAAACGAGGAGGGGAATTAGAGAAATGAGAAAGGGTCTCCTCTCCTCAAACTAAGATTCAGATATTTGGCATTTTTCAAGGCAAGTTATTTGAAGTTTTCTTTCTCAAACGTATGTCGGCTTGATTTCAGGAAGTGCTTCTGCCGAGCGTCACCCCGACTTTCAGATGTTTCAACGTCTTCAAACTGTGCATTAAAACAAGAGGATGAAGAACACGCCCGTAGACCAGAGACGTCACAACACTGGAACACATTTACATAATCAGTGGCGATTCTAGAGTGTGTGAGGGCCCCAGGCAAACATTCACCGGGGGCCCCAGGCAAACATTCACCGGGGGCCCCAGGCAAACATTCACCGGGGGCCCCAGGCAAACATTCACCGAGGGCCCCAGGCAAACATTCACCGGGGCCCCTCGAACCAGCTTCCATCCCCACGCACAGCCGACATGTCGTTGCAGTAAATTAAAGGGTGTTCCATGTTGTCGTTGCTGTGGACCTTCTTTGGGGGCCCCCTGCTGGTCCGCGGCCCCAAGCGGTTGCTTGCCTTGCCTTTTCGCAAGCGGCGCCCCTGAACATAATCACAGATAGAAAAGCATCCCGAGTCTCTGTCTCTATCGACTCCTGAGTGAAGGAGCCTGGGGGGGTTATAACTCTCTGACATAGAGGATTAGAGGGTCTCTGCATCGTGTCTTTATATCTGTCCTTGTTTTGATAAGAAGTACTTCATTGATCCCACATTTGGAAATGTCTGTGTTGCAGCATCATAACAAGACAAGAGTAGAAATAAACAATACTAGAATTTAAACATCTCAAAATAGAATGAAAGCAACATTAAAAAGTAGAAAATATGCGGTTGATCTGACAAAAGAGTATTATGGTATGGCCATGGCACACGGTGTTTTTGGCGCCACCTTATGGTCGTTCGTGGCGATGACAGCCATGAACGGTTGGTATGTTCTGATGTCTGTGAGTTTATTGCATTTCTCTGTGTAGAATCTGACTTCACATCTGAAATAAATAGCAAACTGTCGTAGCCATTTAAAGTTTCAGTGGAGTGAGATGAGTCGTGTGATTAGTTAAGATGTGTTTGTGTCTTGAAGCAAATTTTAAAAACATCGTAGTTGTCCTTTTGTTTCAGTTTTACAAAAAAAGATATGATTGGATGGAAAGAGAAGACTCTCTTTCTGCCATGTTTGATATGCTATCTGCCAACACGTGCGTAGACAGAGCAGCCTCAGGGACAGAGTATTATGGGATGCACGTACTTCCTGCTGGCCTTGGGCACCCCGCTGCCGCCGGCCTCCTCTCCGTCCTCCACCTCCTCCGGCTTCAGGTTCTCCTTCTCCGGCTTCAGGTTCTTCTCTTCTTCCGGCTTCCTCGGGGGTCCGCCGAAGAAATCTCCGATCCCCTTCTGCCAGTCCGGAGTGGGGCGAGGACACACAAGGTTTCCTCCGGCATACTTACCCTTAGCTGAGAGACAGAAAGCACAGAGTCAGAACTACGTCCCCTGAGACAGCTGGTAAAGGTGGAGCTCGTATTCATTTATATATATTCATCTGGGACCCAAAGCATGCTCTGACAGAGAATATGAACTGCTATCATCTAATGGAGATCAATAAAGTCAGCCTGAAGCATCCTTTGTGCTCCAGTCCTCTCAGTAACACAGAGCTACAGATCAGATGCACGCTGAAGGCTCTTAGAGCATCTCTCACTGATCCTGATGTGATGTTCAATGTTTGTTTCTCATGTGTCTTGATGTTTGTCTGTTGATGTTATGTGATCTGACCATTAAAAAGTGTTATCCTATCGTAAGTTAGTCATATATCGTGCGTGTGTGTGTGTGTGTCAGGTCGGACCGGGGGTCCCCGTCTGGCCGCTGCTCGACGACTGGTTTGCAGAACTCGCTCCAAAAGACTTCCGGGGTGCAGCCGCTGCAACAGCTGTAAACAACAATAAAAACACAACAATGATGAGGATTTATAATACAAACATGTGGAAGAAGTGGGTTGTGCAAAGGTAATAGAAAAGAAAGCAGAGTAGAGTTTGGATTTAAGTGCCAGAAAGTGATTCTAATGAACAAAAAGCAAAAATATAAAAAGGAGGTGCAGGAGGGATATCAAAGTAAAGCATACGCAGATTTTGAACGTGAAAGTTCAAATAATTCACATTTAAAATAAGCTTTTAGGAAGGCATGTGTAAGAAGTTGCGGTGTGGAAATGAGCACCATCCACAAACCAGTCTTCATGCATTTATTGACCCATTTAACCGGATAATTAAAATGGATCTTAACACGCACTGATACATGAACCAAGTTTTTTAAAGTGCATTTGCATCCACTAAAACAGCTAAATGTGGGGTGAACTGTCTGCCGAATGTACAACAACACCCCATGGGTTTGACACACGTTTTAAAAAAAGTAAAGTCGCAGATCTGTCGGCGACAATAATCAAAAAGGTTTTAGATGATGTACTTTCTTAAAGGGGTTTGGTGTGACGTCACAAAGCTACGGCGCTAAAAACTGGCGCCAGTTTTATCAAAAGAGAAAAACTAACTTGTAGAAAAGATTCAGAAACATGTCATCCGCGCAGAAAGAACAACAATGACAATACAAAGAGGATTCTGTTGTTTTTGGTTGTTTATTATCGTTTAAATTATCTATTTTAGGAGGAAACAAGCCACCCTTATGGCGGGAGGCTGGTGTTATGGAGTGTAAACCCGCTCTATATTACTACCCTGACATGTTAAAATGTTTGTTATGTAATAATTAGTCAATTATAGGTGAAGGCTAAGTCATTATTTTGTGTAAACAGTTCACATTTCTCTGTTTGTTTTGAATTGTTCGTTTGGCGCGCTTCCATCCCGCCAAACTACATGAGAAAGAAGTGACACTCGCGCTGAAAATCACACTTTTTTAATGTTTATATGTAGTAAATGTTATAAGTTTTTCACTGTACCTTTCCTGTAGGCTGCGGGAACACTGTCAGCTTTAGTCCTCACCATGTTGGCTGCGACCTGTGGATCAGAGCAGGTTTCTAACGGCTCTCAGACGAAAGTGAAGGGAAGCTTTAGTTAGAAACACGGCACGGAGATCTTCTTCTTCGGCTGCTGATATTCAGGCAGAGCAGAAGAGACGCAGCGGTGAGACGGTGCTGCCCCCTCAGGCGAACGGGTGTAACTACAGCTTTTAAGAGTTATCAAGCGTTATCAAGCCGTATTAAATAATATAAAATTAAAGTAACAACAAATATTTAATTCTGATAAAGGGCAGATATCAGTAGTAAATATAATGATATGTTTTCAAAATAACATACTGCCTGTTGATATCAAATTATAAAATGTACTAATGAATCTATTACAATTATCATTAGTTATTCGTTAAAGAAACTACAGGTGACACCCTGCTTTAACACTGAAGCATGAGTAATAACAGTGTAATTATATCATATATACTCATATAAACTGGGAAATGTTTATACTGTTATCACTTTTTCCACCTGTTACCTGTTTGCGAAAAAAAATCTGTACAACAAGGTTTCAAAAAAAGCGTTTCCTGTATTTTGTCCCCTCCCGGGTCTCCGTAGTGGCGGTTTATGTCGGCTGCTGGCGGATCAGAAAAACAAAGCAACTTCCAGCTTTAATTCACATCTAACGGTATGTCATTAACATTAATACACAATTTGATTAAACGCATTAACCTTTACCCGTAACTTACCGCGTGTTTCGGGCTGTTTACGGTGACTTTAAGGGCTGTTTGTGTACTTTCTGGTGTTGTTTTCTTCTGTTGCTAACTAACTGCTAGCTGCTAGCGCTACTTAACTTTACCTGCTGTTTTTCATATTTTACAAATTATAGTCCCGTTTTTTTATGAAACACAAACAAGTGACCTGTCTGTTAATGTTTTTATACATTTATATAACTTTCCCAAAAAGATCAGCTGTTGATAGTTAGTTTTAGTAAACTGAAGCTAAACTGTCACATTTATTTATAACTGCTCTGTCACAAGCAGTGGGAGCAGTATTTAGATTCTTTATTAAAGTACACGTACCACACTGTGAAAATACTCGATTTCAAGTAACAGTACTACATGGTACTTGGTTTTTAGGGAAATGTACTTTAAGTATTTCGGGGGAAACTTCTGTGTAGCAATGCAGGAGGAGTCACCGACTCAAAGGAGACACGGGGAGAGCTGGAGCTCTGATGTCAAACACTGATGGTTTATTTGGAGCTTCGGCCGGAGAATTCACAAAACAAGTCCAAGAGCCAGAGGTTCTGACTTCACGGTAGAGTTGCCACGTCAATTCTGAAGAACTCTACCCCAGACCCATGTGTTTAGCTAGTTCAGAGAGAAGAATCAACATGCTGCCTAACAAGATAGAATGATAACACCTCTATCAGCTGACGCCAGCAGGCAGGAACAGGGAGACTGAGCACTGAGAGCACAGCAGCCAAGGTTACAGGTGCGTGGGCACAGTCAGGACAGTTTGAACTGATACACTGGGTCACAGTTATGGACCGTGGAAAATATTTCCCCAGCAAGTATTAATACAAGCACAGTAAAAAGAGTAAAATTAGCTTCCAAAATGTAGTAAAGTAGAAGTATAAAGCAGCATAAAACTCACTCACACACACACACTGACACTGTCACATATATACACACACACACACACACACACACACACACACACTGTCAGTCACACTCACTCAATCAGTCACACACACTCACTCACACACACACACTGTTTCACACACACACACACACACACACACTCTCTCTAGCGCAAAAACATTTGAATATGTGATTTTATGTTAAGCGTATATATACCGCTGCAGCCTTAAGATAATTGTGTGTGTGTGTGTGTGTAGACGCTGCCATGGAGGAGGTGACCCGCCTGGTGTCCACAGGAGACTGTGTGAGGATCTGGGATGCCGGTTCGATGGCCCCTCTGGAGCAGTTTAACCCCCACAGCAGCGGACACCCGGTGAACCAGGCCTGCTGGAGCTCCAACAGTATCCTGAGACACGGCTCCATCACTGGGTGTTAGTGATACATATCAGAGGGGGGGAGCACTCAGGTCTGGTACTTTAGTAAAAGTAGAAGTACACCATGTACCTCTGAACTGTAGAGGAGTAGAAGTACACCATGTACCTCTGAACTGTAGAGGAGTAGAAGTACACCATGTACCTCTGAACTGTAGCGGGGTAGAAGTACACCACACTGGTAACTATGATATCCTGTGTGAGTCCATGCTGGTTGTTGATCCTGAGCAGATTTCAGATCATTACCTGGTGAGTGCCAGCAGCAGCGGAGACAAGCTGGTGGTCAGCAGCCTGAAGTCCTCTCCAGTCCCAGTGGTGGAGCTGGGAGACGGGGTGAGACTCTACGCTGCTTCATATCAACATGTGTTCAGTCTCTCTCTCTCTCTCTCCCTCTCTCTCTCTCTCTCTCTCTCTCTCTCTCTCTCTCTCTCTCTCTCTTTCTCTTTCTCTTTCTCTCCCTCTCCCTCTCTCTCGCTCTCACTCTCTCTCTTTCTCTCCCTCTCTCTCTCTCTCGCTCTCTCTCTCTCTCTCTCTCTCTCTCTCTCTCTCTCTCTCTCTCTCTTTCTCTCCCTCTCTCTCGCTCTCGCTCTCACTCTCTCTCTCTCTCTTTCTCTCCCTCTCTCTCGCTCTCGCTCTCCCTCCCTCTCTCTCTCTCTCTCTCTCTCTCTCCCTCTCTCTCTCTCCTCTCTCTCGCTCTCTCTCTCTCTCTCTCTCTCTCTCTCTCTCTCTCTCTCACAAAGAATGCACTAACAGAGAATATGAACTGCTACCATCTAATGGAGATCAATAAAGTCAGCCTGAAGCATCCTCTGTGCTCCAGTCCTCTCAGTGATCAGATGCACGCTGAAGGCTCCTTGAGCAGCTCTCACTGATCCTGATGTGATGTTCAATGTTTGTTTCTCATGTGTCTTGATGTTGGTCTGTTGATGTTCCACATGGAGCAGAGGCCTGTACTACGAAGCTGGTTCAACCTAACCTGGATATGTTTGAGTTAGCCGGTTGGCCTAATCCAAAACATACGCGCTCTCTCTAAACGGTCCTACGACGCTGGTTATCAAGTGGATCGCTCAAGCCAGCCGTGTCCTATCTAGTTAGGTGCGTTCACATGAAAGGGGTGGTATCTGGAGCATTCGACCAATCACAAACATGGAGAAGCGTACTGACAGCGCAGCGTCATACTTCCTGAATGAAAAGTCAACTATAATATTAGACATATGAAGAAGTTAAACTTTAAACATCCATGACTTAAACACTTTATCCAGGATCAAAGCCACATAGCTGCACCTGCAAGGTGAATACAGCTGGTAACAGAACAAGTGTTTGAATGCGTACATTAACAGGTTTATGATATCACTGCCCCGTCTAAGACACCATCTGACTTTCATTACATTTGACTCGAGTGTTTCCTCAACTTAATGTGTTGCTTCAAATAATACTTCTGCATACAGTATGTGACACTGTGAGTGTTGCACGGCCAGATACGGCTCAGCTGACTCAGATAAGGAGATATATGATACATTATGATGTGATATGCCGCGGACTGTACTTAATGTTACTCTGATCCGGTTACTTATGTTGTGGCAGATATTTAAGTAAGCTTTCTTAACGCTAATGTTCTAATAGTCAGATTGCTCTGACTTATAGTGGGGGAGGG